CCCTTTGAATCTACGTCAGTGAAGAAATGTGCTTTGTGTAGACAAGCCCCAAGTCGATTGCAGGAGCTGGTGGGTATGTGGAGGAATGCGCAAGGGATTGTGGAGAGAGAGAAAAAAAAAAAAAAAAAAAACAGGAGAAATGCCTACTAACATGTGCATACACATGACTCAAAAGGGATAACTGTGGGGAAGCTCAATTTAAAGGTAGGGGGAACAAACATACCAACGTGTTCATCCTGGGTACATAACAAATGTATATGTATGCTTGCTTATTCGCGTGACGGGGCGCACATTTGACGCACTTGCGAACTCCAGTTCTGTTGCGTTTGGGTGTCGCCGCAGAATCGAATCCCTCACGGTGATAGCGCAGGAGCAAGGCCGAACAAGCACATATATATGGCTGGGCGCTCGGATTGATATTGCTTATAAATACACGCACATGTACACCCACAAGTATATTCGCATAAGGCACCTTTTCAATCTCGTGACATGAACCATGGCAGGCCCAAACGATTAAGTAGAGACCGCATTATACATAGCCGCCCCAGGGAGGAGGGCATTTTTTTTTTTTTTTTTTTTCGCCCACCAGTTGAATGTACGAATAGGGATTCTGTTTGTAGTTCCGCACCTGGTTCTCCACCCTTTTAATTTTTGTGTACGTTTTTCCATTACACGTTGTGCATGTGCATTGCCTCTTCATTTTATAAAAATCCCTTTGACCCTGCAACAGTTTCGTTTCTCCCCTAGGAGTTCATTTGGTGATATTATATAAACGAAATTTGCTTCCCTAATTTTGGCCCATTTTTGCCGCACATTTTTTGGCCACACATTTTGCCCGTTAAAAGGCTAGTCGCCTCTGTGCGTTGGTGTACGAGTCGGACGGCTTTGTGAGTGCATCGCGTGACCCCCCTGGAGAGCTGCGTAAGAGGAGGGTTAAGCAAAGCAGTTTGAGAGGGTCACACGCAGGTGGCGCCGCTAACCGGAGGAGGGGGCGTCTGTCGACAAGTTTGTGCACCGACACACCGGATAAGGGGAGCAGAAGCAGAGAATACACCGACGTACGTCCGAGCTACTCCTACCCTTCCCCCTCCCCACGAACAATGCAGAAGAGCAACAGCGATAGCTTGAGTGAATGGTGCTTAATCGAAAGCAACCCATGCATTTTCAATGACATGCTAAGTCGCATGGGGGCGAAGAACCTCTCTGTGGAGGACGTGTATGACTTGGGTTTTTTTGAAGATTACATATGGAACAGAGGTGTGGTGAGCGTGGAGAATGTCCTTGGTATTGAGGAGTATCGGAGTGAGAAGGAGAAGGGGTGGGCCACGAGTCCCATGGAGGATGGGGAGGGCGCTACGAACACACCTGCACAAAAGACAGACCTACAAAAGGGACTGTACAGCAGCACCGTGACGACAGAAGATAAATATAACAAGCTAATAAAAAATGAAAGTAACGTCTATGGAATTATTTTCCTTTTTAACATTGGAAAGAGTTACAAAAGGAACAAATTCGTTGAGCACAGTGTACCTGAGAATCTCTTTTTCGCAAAGCAGGTGATCCCGAACGCATGTGCCACGCAAGCCATCCTGTCCATTGTCCTTAATAAAGAAGTAGAATTGAATGAAGAAATAAAAAATATAAAATCGTTTAGTGACAATTTTGATAGCTCCATGAAGGGACTCACTCTGTCCAACTGCAACGTCCTACGAAACATTCACAACTCATATAAACCTCCTATATATATTGAAAAAGAAAACCTTCATGATGAGAAGGGGAAGAGTAACGACTCGTTTCACTTCGTTTCGTATATAGAGTTTGGTGGTAGTGTGTACATGCTAGATGGGCTACAGGAGGGGCCTGTGTTAATTGGGCACACCAATGGAGAAGACGAACAGCATAGTTGGATTGACCTCGCCAGGCAACACATAAAGAAGGAAATCAGTGAGATATGCAATGCTAGTGGTATAGGAGAAGAAGGAGACAGCCGATTTAACATCCTAGCTGTTATAAAAGATAAGGAACATATTATAAATGAATTTTGTAACATACATAGGATTGTAAAACAGAGAGTTAACACCAAGTTACGTAACCTTGGAAATGAAGAGGTCGATTTAAGCGATGAAATAAATGAAGAAAATTTTAACTACCCTACCATACCAACCGTTGAGGAGCTCCCACAAGACATCCCAGAGCTCCTTCTCATTGCTCAAAAGGCAACATTAGAAATTAACTTTCTTCAGGCACTTTTGCAAGAGCAAATGCAGTTGAAGCTCACATGGAACAAAGAACTTACATTTAAATTTTTTAATTTTTACCCATTTGTCATGTCCTCCTTAAAGCTCATGGCCAAGCATAACATTTTAAAGGAGGCCTACGAGAAGGAGAAGGAGAAGCAAAAACGCAGTCGGGCCGCCGTGTAGATCTGCAATAGCGGAATGGAAGCGGGAGCAGTCATCGGAAGAGCCCACATTGCGTTCATGTCACGCGGCCACCGCGCACAGTTACGCGTCCTTCTACATACTTCACACTTTTGATTCCCCACCCCCTGAGGGCGAGAAAAAAGAAAAAAAAAGAATTTCATTTTCCTTCGCCCGATATGCGTGGCGATGTTGCGCGTTTTTTTCTCCATTTTGGTCCCGTTTGCGGTCATTATTTTGCCTTTTTTTTCTCCCTTCTTTTCCTCCCTTTCTGGCTCTCTGTGTGTCCGCTTCTGCAGCTGCTTCCCCCCCGTGAGCGTCTCCTGCACCCCGCACGCACGCACACGAGCATACGTGTGCAGGCATAACTATCCCTCCCCCCTTTTTTTAAGAAAACCAATTCGTGAACACATATTATGCCCCCATAATTGAATCTCCTTTTTTTTTCGAATTAATTGAAAGTGGCATACATATTACACCTGAGGGAAAATTGCTCTGTGCGAAGCGTGTCCAGCTCAAAAATACTACACAAAACAACGGTACATAAAGTGGACATTCCCCTCCTCTGTTTGACTCTCTCCCCCCCCGCTCCCAACAACAGGGACACACATATAACTCCTGGGTGTGGAACAATATACCCTGCCGGGAAATGTGTCTACCTTCCCTTGGACGAGCCCACTAATGTGCTCCCCATCCCACAGTGACGCGTAAGCAAAATTAACCCCCTTCGCATTGGAGCTTAACAAGTGCACATATGCCGAAATGAACACCACGCCGCTGAAAATGAAGAGCCGCACCACGGGAAGGAAGTTGAAAAAAAAAAAAAAAAAAAAAAAAACAGAAAATTGAGCAGAGAAAAAAAAACGGAATAGACCAAGGCAAATTGGCATACCTCAGTTTCCTATGCGAAGAGGATGACATAAATTTCTTTTGCAAATTTGAAAATGACTTGGATGAGAAGAAGTCGCGCAGAGCTTCCAACGAAAGACCCCTCGCTTGTTACGACAACTTTTGTGTGCCCCCTTCTGAGTGTGACGCTTTGGAACAGTCCTACCTCTACACGCTGCTCCACAATGAGGACTTCACACGTGACAAACGATCATGTTCATCCATGGGATTCATTTTCAATAAGTTGTTTTTGCAATTGGCCCATTTTGACCAGCAGCTGCGTAGGGATATCCATCGAGGGAGATTCTTCCAAAAGGGGAAGAGGAGGGGTACAGCGGCAAAAGGGAAGCTACAAAGGGGTGCCTCAAAACTGTGTGCAAATAAAAATCGTGTCTTCCCAGGTAACCCCTATACAAATCTCGTAAACGATTCACATGTAACAGAACAAAGGATTACATATGAAGAGGATGAGGATGCCATGTTCCACCACTTGGCATACAGCCAGCTGCAGGACAACCTTCTTCAATTTTATCTTCCCCCGGGGAGGTATGCCAGTAGGACCCCACTACGTAAAAACAGAGCAACCCGAGCGAACGAGGGTCAGCACTCCCAACGGTATGATATTGGTGCTGAATGCGCCAAGCCAAGCGGGGATCTCATTTCGAGGGGAAAATTATCTGCGCGTGGAGTGAAAAAAAAAACAAAAAAAACAAAACATACACTGTCTACTGCGAAACGACGAGGCAGTCACCAGGTGGGTGAAATGAAAGAAAAGGAGAAAAACAACGAAGCGAGCGACATACACCCATTATCCAATCCCAAGGCGTTCATCCGCTTGTACAATTACTCCTCCAGCGAAGATAGCGATATGTCTTTTTCAAAATTTTTACCTGAACCGTTCAGAAAAAAAAAAAAAAAAAAAAAATATCCCCCAGGGAAACCTCCGCAGAGGGGAAGAAACAACACAAGAGGGAGCTACAAAACGACGCTGCCGCCATTTTTGATGAAATCATACAACTGTGCAGAAGGAACAAAATATTCTCTTTTAAAAAGCAAAAGAGAAAGTACACAAGGAGGTGTAACGGGACCCACTTTAAGGGAGAACAAAGCGTTTTTCAAGCAGAGTTATCTGATGATGGTGGTAGAGGTGATTATTCATTCGCCGCTTCCAAACGGAAGTTGCATCCCCCCACCGGGAGGAACCTGTCGGACTGTCCCACCATGAGTGGCTGCCACGAAGGCTTTAGAAATCCTCATTTAAGAGGAAATGTCCTTGGAAAGGGTGCTACACCTCATGCCCTCCGCTTGACGAAGAAAAGAAGTTTCAGTGAAAGTTCTCCCATTGTGGCGCGGCTCTCGGAACAGCGCGCGAATTCGAGGTCAATCAAAGTATGCAGGCGGGTAGGTGCGCCCCCCTGTCCTTCTACTGCTCCGACTGCAGCTCCGCTTGCGGCCCCGACGGCTGCCCCTTCTACTGCTCAGCGTTCGTACGGTAGACACCATAGGGGTTATGCCTCCTCCGTTGTTGCGTCAACATGTGAAGAGACCAGGGAGGACTGCACGCGCTTCCCAAATCTGATGAACGCAAAAAGGGGGAAAGAAAAAAAAATGATGAAAATGCAAATCTTGGAAGGGTTAAACCAAAGCAGTTATGACCCAGGACACCTTGAGCGCATGGTTAGTAGCAAATGCTTCCCCCTACCTAGAGAAAGACTAAGACATACATTGAACAGAAAAAATGTAGAGTTAAAACCAGTTGGAGGGGACAAGAACACAATGAAGAAGAAAACGGAAACCATTAGTACATTTAGCTGGAGCAAAAAATGGGCATGTGCAAGGAGACTACAATATTGCTCACTCTATGTTGAGGAGAATTACGAAATGATTGTTGAACTGCACAGAAACGAATATCCCCTCAACGATTTTTACTTAACTTACGTTTATGTGATGGCGTTAATAAAATTGAAAAGATGTGCCCTTTGCTGGGAGTACCTCTTAAGGGTTAACCGCCTTCGGGAGGCACATCGAGCAACTGGCGCGAACGCATCATGTGTAGCCGGGCTGCTGCACTTCCTCTGGGGCAAGCTATACGAGAAGCTTCTACTCTGTAGGCTGAGCACAGCGGAGTACTCGAAGATGGTGCTTGACCACGTGGGGAAGTCTGGCCCCACTTTGCACACAAGGCTACGCGCACACGAAGTGACAGGTGCAGCATCTCAGATCGGCATGACAGACCTGCAGCCATTCATTCTTGTCTGCCTAGACAAACTCATAGGGACGGGACAACTTAAAAGGAGAGAGGAAATCACGACACTCAAGTTCGTGCACATGAATAATAACTTGGGTAGAATCCTTAACTTTTATTTTTGCAAAGTGGGTTCCAATGAGGAGTTCCCGCACAATCTGAGTGACTACACAAACACGCAGAATGAGGTGACGTTTGGGTGTCCCCCCCACAGGAACAGGCATAAGAGCTGTGTGGGGGCGGTCAGGATGCTACGCCCGCCTCGCGTTTCCAGATCGGAAGTTCGCCAGGAGGGTACCCATGATGGTGTCACCCATGACCGCGTCGCCTATGACCGCTTGCCCAATTCCGCTAACCACAATTACGTCCACTTCACCAACGGTTGGAAGGCGACCCCCCCATGGCCAAGTGAGAACAACGCACGGATGCGAAACTCAGCTGTGGGAAAGCAGAAGGACAGGGGAGGGGGATACCCCCAGCAGACACCTCCCTGGCCAGACCACCGTCAATGTAGGAGAGTCCTCCTTAGTATCCCCCCCAAACGCATGCACGTGCAAGAGCACACAAACATAAAGGGATCCCACCATGGGGTTATTTTTCCCCCAAGGGGACTGGTCCAAATGAGTAGAGAAGTGAACAGGAAGGTGCACATAAATGTTAGTAACATCCTCAGCCGTGGCACCAGCGACAGTGACGAGGTATCCGAGGGGAGAGAGGTGAGCATCTTGGGGAGGTACGACCACTACACTGTGCGGAGTTACACTTTTATGGGTGGACACAAAGGAGAGGATTTGGCGCAGAAGGAATTTTTGGCCCATTTTGATTTTCTCCTTCGAAGTGGACACGTCTTGCCTGAGCACAAGGTACGTCCCCACTACGACGATTTTTTCGTGTGTCTCTTTCGCTTATATTTTCGCTCTTGCTCCAAGTGGGTAATAAAGAGAGCTATCCTTTGGGCAGCGAACACACCATCAAATAAGGCAGCATTGAAGACAGCACAGAGGTTAGCAATGAGATTGAAACTGATTGATGTTTGTCCTGTTAATGCATTTTCACCAAAAGGGGACAGGCAAATGTGTCACGAAGAAAGCCTGCCTACAGTTGGAAAGCAGTCAATGTATTGTTCTGATCATCCGCTGTGGTGTGGAAAATCGTTGCGAATTGAAAAAGTAACTCTACCAGATCTTCTACACATCATCTTGTTTTGTCACAAACATTTCCATTTTGTTAATGCATATTGTTTAAGTGAGTACGCCTTACGGAGAGAAAATGCGTTGGGAGAAGAGGACGTCATCCTCTTGTTCATCGAGTCGATCACAAGTATGCACAGCGTTGTATGTACCAGTCAGCAAAAAATTGAGCGGCTTCTCCAACTATACAATGCGCGTGTGAACTACACAGCGTGCAAAAGCAGACATTACAGCGAAAATGGGAAACAAAATTGTGCATACACGAAGGACCACCTGGATTACTACCTACATGGTGTTATTGCTCTTTTGAAAGAAGACTATGATCAGGCACTTTTTTATTTTAACAAGTGTGTAAGTGTAAAGAGGAAGTTCTTCCAGGCGTACGTGTGCATTCTGCACATACTTTGCTGCTCACCGAAGAGGAGTACCCTTAACTCGAGACAAAAAAAAAAGATTTTTCACCATTGTCTGAAATTAAAACCGGTTAGTGTGTCCCCCTACTTAGTGTACTGTTCCAGTGTAGTAAGGAAGCTGCAGTTAGACTTAAATCACGAAAGAGAGAAACGCGGGCCTGACAATGGGAGGAAGCAAAACTTGCTTATCGAGTCAGCAACTTTTTTGAGGGGCATATTTTCCAAAGCAATGCACCTCGATAATAAAAACCCATTTTTGTACAACGAGTTATTTGTTTATCATTTTTTACGAAAAGATTTTATCCAATGCAAAGTAGCGCTACGCAAAATGTTACTTATACAAGACTTTTCTACTCCCTGTTGTAATTATTTCCCTCTTTCCGTTGTCCTGTACAATTCCAGCGTTTTTTATTTTTTGTGTGAAAACAACCTGAACAAGTCAGAAAAAAAAGTTATTGAAATTTTACACAATAACCCCTTTGATGTAAAAGCTTTGAACCTTTTAACTTTCCTTTTGTTTTTAAAGAGGGATGAGTACTGGACGCGCTTTTTCGATTATTCTATGTACGTGGAGAGGAGTCTGCTGTCGCGAAACGCGGGAAGTCAACAGACATACTTGTGCCAGACTTTTTTCAACCGCCTTCGGGAGACGAGGGACTTGGGACTGCTCGCCCGTTACTACGGGGCGCTGAAGGCAGTGCGCAAGTCCTTCCCCTTCGTGCTCAATTACATCCACGCGAGATACTCGCCGTAGCTGTATCGCGCCGCACCTGTATCGTGTGGGTGATTATGGCGCCTGTCGCCTCCGCCACAAACACACATCCCCTTTTGTTGCAACTTCAACGTTAAACCCAGCTGCCCCTCCGCTCAACTGCGCCACCTGTGTTTACGTTTTTAAGTAGCCTCTATGCACCCCCAGTGGGTGGAAGCCACCACGGAATGGAATGGTCCCTCCACGCCTGGGGATGACGCGTGTTTAGCGTCGCACACGCAGGACGGAACAAACATTAAAAGGGAAATAAATAAAATGGAAAAACCGTATGTCCAGTTGCAATTCTCACTGGAGGGAGCTTGTCACCTGCTTGGGCGCGTCCAATCTGATGAATAATGCTACAACTTTACCGTTAACTATGAAGGCAAAAGTAAAAAATGAAAGCGGTGTATGTACCATCGGATAGGACGCCATATGGAATGGGGTTAGACCGTCGTTTTCACCGTACCGCGTCCCAGCACTGGGTATACATATACTTTTGGAATTGTTTTTTTTGTTTTTTTTTTTTTCCTGCAGTAAGTACATGTTTATGTGTCACAGTAGCACAACGTTTTAACATAAGCGAGCGCAGGGTGCGTCTCGAAGAGGATTAGATTAACCCGCTTCGCTTTAAAAGTACGTACTTCAAGTGAAGGACGCGTAAAAAAAAAAAAAAAAAATACATCTCCGCTAAATATTCCCAACAAACGAAATGTTTTGCATTTCCTGTGTTTGCTTCATTTGTACTTTTCCGCGCGAGGAATTAATGAAGGACAAATATCGCTGGAAATTATACCCGCCCGGTGCAGTGCCATTATATGCAGCGCACGCATAGAGCGCGGGTCCTCGGCCATTTTTGTTGCTGCTAATAAAAAAGTGCATCCGGCGCAATAAACATATATATTATGACATACTCCTGTACCCGTATGCTTATGTGAAGCACCCTCACGCGGTGATCAAACCAACTCTGAGCGAGCAGGGGACCGAATGAGCACTGACTGACCCATGTCGTTGTAGCATTGCCGTGCGCGAAATCATATTAATAGTTCTTGGCGCCGCCCGATTTTTGTCACCCCGCATCGCGTTATCCCGACGCAGGAAAAAAAGTACAGAGTTATCACTGCACAAAGCCTCCGCGCGGGAACGCCATTTTTACCACATTGCACTATTTTCTGGGTCAAGCAGCTAGCCCGATAGAGAAAAAATTGCCACGATATTGGAAAAAAAAATTTGCCGCAAAAAATTTACCCTCACAATTTACGTCAAAGTTGCCGCAAAAAAAAATAATACTACGAAATATATAATACCAAAGAGAAAGCGTTTCGTCCGCTGAGAACAAAATACGCGAAAGCGCACTTTAACTCCGAAGTTTGCCATGCAGTTTTTTGTTGACGGCAGCCACGTAACAAAAGTAAGAATGTAAAAAAAAAAAACATACGTAACGCTCTTGCGTGCTTATAATTGTTGCATGTTTGTTTTCCTCCCTGCCTTTTTTTTTTTTTGTTCTTTTCTTTTCTTTTCTTTCATTCTGTT